AGTATGGACGAACTATCCTACTATTAAGTAATTATATTCCTCAATGGTCTATAATTTTGGGTCATAAGATAGAAATTACATAGTCTTATAGGTATGCTTGATCAGGCGAATTTGTAAGATACACTAACAACATATATCCCTTAAATTAAAAGAGCATGTCTCGGATCCTTCGAGTTAAGAGGAGGGCAAATACAAATGTAGTGTACTATCGCGCTAAATTTGGTGATCCTAAGGATCACTACTGCAGCAGCTCCAATGCAATCCTCTTCTATTCACACTGAACAAACCTGCCCGTATATGCACCCAACTTCCCATTAATGATGAAGGGGACAAGGAGATATTTGCTACATGTTAGTCATCTCCATTAAATCTTTCAAGTTATCAGTAAAATACTTCCATTTTGTGGAACTTGAATGAAATTTACGGCTCTTATCTGCCTTAGTGAAAGAGGACACTTTCAGTATTGACTTGATTCGCATGTGTTCTTCAAATGTCTTAATTAGTTTCCCCAACTAATGAGGTCACAGATCAGAAGTAATACCGTGCTAATTTTTCAATGTTTTATGCGATTACTCTTTTTCTTTGCAATATCTGCAACAGTTCATTACTTATTGGTTTGCTTATAAGGAACCGAAAGTGGTAATGGCTTAGCTTACCTTTGTGGAGCATACTTACTTATAACATATAGTCGGCTTTTTGATATCGATGTCGATTTTGCTTTTTTTCCTGGTTATTAACGCGATTTCAGCAGAAAATCTGTTCATCGAATCAATTTTTTAATACACTTGTTGCTTCCAATAATTGAGTCTGGAGACCATATCGGCCCTTCTAGCTAGACGGATTGGAGTAAACACTTATTCTTTGCACAGACATAAAAATTTCCAGATGGATATTATCATTAGATTCAAGACATCTTTCCAGTTAATCTTATGCTTACTGCCAATTGGCTGTTGTGACCAGCATTTTACCCCTAAAAGTGGCTGTTTTTCTTGCAATCTGTTGCATTTTTACCATATTTAATTTTTAACTAAAAGGTGATATGAATAAAAATCTTAAAAATGAAGGTTAAGTCAGTCAACACAATAATGCACAAAGCTGAGTGGATATCTTAAAAGTTACTCTAATTTGAATTATTTTTAAACAATTGCGGTGGTTCCCAAAATCCAGTTAAATGGAAGGTTAAAATCTTTACTCTGATAAGTTTTTTTTTGGTTTCACACCTATAAACTATGAATAAACAATATGAGATGTATTAACCAAATTTCGTTGTGGGAAAATTGTTCTTCTACCAGTCCTTCATCACCTTG